GGGAGGGGGGACCTCCTGTAATTGACATCCTTCTTGTCCTGGGTGTGCTCTGTGCCTAAAAAGAAAGAAAACAAATTTCACACCTGATTTAAGAGTAGCTGTTGCACATGGTGATCTCTTAGCTAGGGTAACTCTCCTCCTGTATTTCTTCTTGTGCACCAGCTCTCAAGTCCATTCCAGCCAAACCTTCCTGCTTTCTTTCTATTGAGTCCCACTCCAGCTGCTTATATACCTTCTCCCCCAGTGGGCAAGGAGTTGTCCTAAAACTAAAGCCTGACACTTAAATGATGTCTGAAACAGTAAAAAATTCAGTTCCTGTTTGTAGATAAAAAAGGATAAACAAAATCACAAAAGGAACATCTGAACACTTAATGTTACTGAAACTCTAGCCACTCTGACATCATTTTCTTATCTCATTCCCCATTCCATTTAATAAGCCAGAGGCCAGGGGGCCTCTCCCCAGGGTCCTTTCTCCCAGATCTTCTCCTCAGGGATGGGGACCACTCCCTACAGTCCTTAATCCAAGAACCATGCAATCACCTCTTTAAAAAAAACAGAAACCATACACTCACCTTTAGAAGAACCAAAAACCAGGCCTGTCTCCTGCTACCATGTGTAGTCCTTAGCCTCTGCAATCCTACATGCAGAGATGGTGATCATAGATGCCCTGTAGGAGTGAAGGAACGTGTGTGAAGCCCACCCGGCAATAGGTCTCTAACTAAGGGGTGCCTTGATGAGAGCTACAAGGGAAGCCTTGCATGCCATCAGTAATGGGCTGAGACCACGCTGACCTCATACTTGGAATGTAATTCTTAGATTAAGGGAAAGGCATTTATGTAGGTGGATCACTGTAGCACTGTGTACTCAATCTTTATCTATAGTTACCATAATTAACAAAATTAATCCTTGTATGTATGATTCTCATAAATAAACATTTATCATGTGCTACCTGTTTCCGAACATGATGGAAGTGGTATTGTGATCAAGAAACTGTTTTGTTAATCAGTAACTAAAGATGTATGATCTCTTCCTTCACACACACCCATGGAGATTGTATTTAAGCTCAATCTGTAAAGCAATAAAGCTCTCTCGACTGACTATCTTGAGTCCCCTGCCATCTTCAATTCTCTGTCTGCCTCCAAGGACCCTGTTCCTTCAGGGCTGGTTCCTGCAATGCCCCTCATCTTAAAATCAAGGGTTTTCCAAACGGCCCCGCTGATCACAGCCCTATCCATCCCTGCCGTTAGCAGCTCATTGCTTTGTTCAGTTATGCTCTGGGAGTAGAAGAGGACTGGGACTGATTCAACCCTCCACTTGGGCCTTTTAGGAAGACTGGTCCTATATGGATCCCCTAAGTCTCAGAAAATCAGCCTTCCCATCTGTAGTAGCAAAACTGTAACCAGAAAAAGTTCTAACAATATAGCCAACAATCAGAGGCAGAGTTCAGAGCAAAAAACAAAGCATTTATTGTGTATTGATACACAGAGCACAGGTGAGCAGCAATCTCCCAGATCTGCCTCCCTGAGTTAAAAGGGGAGGGGGCATTTATAGAGTTCTCTAGTGTAGGGTAGGAGTTTAAGGAATGTCAGAAAACTTCTTTGTTGCTTGCTTATCTTGAGTATTGCTGATGGTTCTCATGTTGCCTCTAACAGATACCATTAGCTTTTTCCCAGTGGTGGTTATCAGTGGCTTTCACAAGAAATGTGTAGCTGTTTTTCGCCCTTCCTGAGATAGCCCTTAAAGTAGGGATTAGCTACCAATTAAGAGAAGAAACGGTAGTAATTGACTATGGCAGGTAGTTAGGGAACAAGCTACATTTTATAGCTGTCATATGGCTGTCCAGATGTCATTTAACTTTGGCCAAGCTACAACTTTCCCAGTGCCCTTGGTTTCTCACTGCCCCATTTCACCAACAGCTTCTTCGGTTGATCATTTTCTAAGTGAGCCATGAAATTAAACCTTGGAAATCAAAAATCTTGAGACTCTTCAAGTCCATGGTTAGCTTTGTGCTGTATGTGACTTAAGGGTGTGTGGTAAATCCTATGCAGTTAGTTAAAAAGGTTTATTTGATGTGTTATATTTTGTTTACCCATGTTTTATTTGTTGCTATTGTTGTTAAGTGCCGTCGAGTCGATTGCAACCCATAGTGACCCTGTGTAGGATTTCCAAGGAATAGCTGGTGAGCTTGAACCACTGACCTTGCAATTCAAATGACTTTGAACTGGCACATTAGCCCACAGCACCACACAAGGACTCCATGTTGTATTTGGGACAGTCTATTACATACTAAGGAACTCTGGTAGCTTAGTTGTTACAAATCGGGCTGCGAACCGCAAGGTCAGAAGTTCGAAACTACCAGCTGTTCTGTGGGAGAAAGATGAGGCTTTCTGCTCCCATAAAGATTTACAGTCTCGGAACCCTGTTCAGAGTCACTATGAGTCGGAACCGACTCCACGGCACACAGCCACATTATCGTATTAGTGTAGTGGTTATGAATCGGGCTGTGAACCGCAAGGTCAGCAGTTCAAAACTACCAGCTGTTTCACAGGAGAAATATTAGGCTTTCTGCTCCCATAAAGATTTACAGCCTCAGAAACCCTGTACAGGGCCGCTATGAGTCGGAACCGACTCCACAGCACATAACAACATTATCATACTACTATATTCTGAAACAGGAGTCCCAGGGAGGTACCAAAAAATTAAACAGTTGACTTCTCTCTGAAACACTGACAGTTCTCATTCGCCCAGAGGCACTCTGAAGAAAAGTCTGGTGATCTGCTCCCAAATAGTCACAGCCTTGAAACCCCTGTGGGGCACAGTCAGAATGAACTCAAAGGAAACTGATGGTTGGGGGATCTTTTTTAATTATTTGCTCTGTGGAGGATCTAAATGAAGAGGGAGGAAGAAATGGAAGGAAGAAAGTAACAAGAGAGGGAGGAAAGAAAGGGACCAAGGTCCCTGGGTGGGTGAGACATCTAGAACAAAAATTGTTCACTGGGGACAAGTGGAAGGTGGGATTGAGAAAAGGGATCGGGAAGGTAGGGCTGAAACCACTAAGGGGAGAAGGGTTGTAGCTGAAACAACTACAGGCTCAGGGCACTCAGATGGCCACACTGTTTTCCACCAGACTGGGCCTCAGGTACTCATAGGGCATGACCAACTGTGCATTTCGGGTCTCAATATCCTTATCCATGACAGCCAGCTCCTCCCTGAACTTCTTCAGCACAGCCTTGGGCTCAGGACCTGAGAAATACTCCTCCTTGTGTTGGCCCAGAGCCACCTGGGATGGAGAGAAAAAGGCAGCTGAGAGTCTGATGACGCCCAGCTTGGGGTGCCATGCCTCCCACAGCATCTCTCTGCTTGGGGTCCCAGGCACCTGGCTCTCACCATAATGGGTTGGCGCCTGCCCAGTTGCCAAGTGATGGACATCTGGAGAGAAGCCTGGTGAAAGTTGGGCAGTGTCGCCATCACCGTCTCCAGCGTTGCATCCTTGGTGGTAGGTGGGGGCAACCGCATCGTACAGGGTGTGTTGGGGACCCAAGTGTACCAGTCCAGCTAAGGAGGGGTCAGATGTCTAGAGTCAAGGTCTACTAAACATGAAAACATGTCAGCCCACTTGCATGCAGCCTCCTCCCCGACTCCAGGCCTCAAATTTTCAGCTGCTATCCTATGGTGAGTACCTGGCCCAGGTGAATGGAGGAGTGCTGGCCAGTGCAGGTGAAGATGCACATGGTGACAAAGTGGCAAAGCTGGTCCCGGGTCTGTAAGGTGATAGGAAACCCTGCAAAGGGCAAGGGGTGAGGAGAATGAGAAACCATGAAGCCAGGAATAGAAACAGAGTTCACAAAGACAAGGGAGACCAGGAGTGAGAAGAGGAACCAAGAACTCTCAGTAACCATTGTGGGAATACAACCAAATAGGATGGAGGACATGGAGAGGTCTTCTGGAAGCTCCTTCCCCCACCCCACGCCCCCAGTGGTGTGTGGGATCTGACTCTTACTTGCTGATGAAAGCTGACTTTGTTAAATTCTAGAAATTTAGCAAGCTGGTTAATTTCACACTGGTATCTTTAAATCGATTATGGTGAGAAATTTTTACCATGGCGATGGCAAATGCTACAAACCAGGGCATTTTCTGGAGAGCCAGTTGTTTATTAAACATCTACCAGCAACCACTGGTCCTACTGCATCTGGGACCTAAAGGGTTCTGAGTGCATGAGCTGGGGACCTATCTCTAGCTGAAAGGGTAAGGATTCTAGGAAAGCCTCTGAGAGTTTTCATAGGGGTTGGAAATGTTTCTAGAAGTTTCCATAGGTGTAGAGAGGATTCTGGGAAGTTCCAAGGAGTAGTGCCTCAGGAATCGGGTCAGGCGCTTATCTTACCTCGGTCCTGGGCTCCTAACAGCCCAATTTCAGTGATCTCCCGACACCAGGACTGCAGTTCAAGGTCCTCTTTCACAGCCATATCTGTCTTATAGTGAAGATTCACAATGCCCTCCACATAGCTGCCAGTCAAGGGGTCCATGTGAGCAAGCTAGAGCTGACAAGAGCCCAGGCCCTCCACTCCTTGCCCACATGGCCAGTTTAGCTCCCTTTCCCTAAAATACAGAACTTTTGTTGACCTACACTTTTCCACCCCAATCCCACCAGCTCACCGAGAAGTGATTTCCCAGAGCCGAAGTGCATCTTGGGCATAGTAGCAAGACTTGACTCCCAGGAGCCCCCGGTCAGCCAGATCATCAGGGGGACAAAATGAGCGATAGGTTAGGAAGGCTCCGGCTCGCTTGAGCAGCTCCACATGGCCTCCTCCACCTGTGCTCACCACCTGAAGAGCAAGGATAGGCAGGGTCAGCTGCTCTGTGGGCACAAGGGAGAAGGAACTCCAGCATCCCCCTTTCGCTCCCATACCTGGTCGAAAACTCCCAAGTCAGAGACCAGCCCAGTCCTGGCCCTGAGGTTAATTTCCATGGTGTAGCGCAAGTGAGGAATGATAAGCTAGAGGGAGAGAAACCAGGAAGGACAATGTCAAAGACAGCTGTGACAGGTCCCTGCAGGAAACCAGACTGCAAAGCAGTAAAAGCTTCCAGTCTTCAGGAAAAGCAGACTCCAAGCTCAGGGGCCCATCAATACCAAGAGTCTACAATTGATTTGCATCTCCTAATGACTTCCACAAGCGCTCTGGTAGCGTAGTGGTTACGAATTGGGCTGCGAACTGCAAGGTCAGCAGTTCGAAACTACCAGCTGTTCTGCGGGAGAAAGATGAGGCTTTCTGCTCCCATAAAGATTTATAGCCTCGGAAACCCTGTACAGGGTCGCTATGAGTCAGAACTGACTCCACGGCACATAACCACTACCACCACCAAAGCAATTCACAGCGACCCTGTATAGGGTTTCCAAGGCTTTAAATACTGCAGGAAAAGAAAGTCTTATCTTTCTCCCAAGGAGCGGCTGGTGGGCTCAAACCGCTGAACTTGTGGTTCGAAGTCCAGTGCTTATCCTATAGAGCCACCGTGCTCCTACATATATGTGGTTGTGTATTGTATAAGTATCTATGCTTTATACATAAAAAGAGAGAGATTTTTTTGTCCCTTCCCCCAAGCATTATTTTGCTTCCTTAGGAAGTGATATCTCCTGGTTGAAATGGCCTGGGCTGGCCCCTACCTCTTCTCTCCTTCCCTCTCCCCTTTGGCTATTACTGTTACCTCCTTTGTGATCTTCACACACATCAAGCTTATTCAGCCTCATATTTTAGCTGTTCTTTCTGCCTGAAATACTGTGGCCCTTGATCACATCATAGCTGGCTTCTCAGGGTCTCAGATTCTGTCATCTGTTCAGAAGGACCTTCCTAATCACCCTATCTAAACTCTATCCAAATACTCCATCATATCACCCAGCTGAGACTTTTTGGCCCCTCCCCCCAAGAATTATTTTTGCCTGCTTGGAAAGTGATATTATCACCTCTTGAGCAGACATGGTAAGCCTCCCACACTGAGTTCCCCCAAAAAGGATGTCTAGAAGTGGAGTGTGCCATGGATCAGAGAGAGGAGCAGGGAATGAAGCGATACCTTGAAGATAGGATGTATCGATGGCAGGCACCTCATGGTGGCCACAGCAAATACCTCAGCCATCAAGTGTCCCCTTAGAAGATGAGACTGCAGCTCATGAAGCTGGAAGTCTGCGCTCCGGACCCAGCATTTGGCCAGGAGCCAGACCATCGGGGGATCTGTGGGCAGGAAAAGTGGTGGAGGGGGAGCTCCGATGCGTGGAAGCTGGAGCTTGAGGAAAAAGAAGATTAAAGAAAAAAAAAAAAGAAATTAGTGCTGTGCCCAGCAGGTTCCTCCACCCTAGCAGGTTTAACCTCACCTCTGGTAGTGCAGTGGTTATGAGTCAGGCTGCTAACCTCAAAGTCAGCAGTCGGAAACTACCAACTGTTCCGCGGGAGAAAGATGAGGCTTTCTGCTCATAAAGATTTACAGCCTCGGAAATCCTATGCAGGGTCACTATGAGTCGGAACCGACTCCACAGCACACCACCACCATCTTCCTCCAAATCACCTGGGACTTCTCCATCTTCCTGCTGCTACCCCCTCTTCCCTACCTACAGCTATTCTGTATTTTCTCCCCACTCAGTGCGCTGGCATTATGCAAGTTTCTGCCCTCAAATTTCTGCAGAAACCACTCTTCCACTGCTTTCTCCAGGTTCCACTTCCCCTTTCAGACTCTTCAGTATGTACCACCCTCTACTTCCTTCATCCCACGCTCTTTTTCAGAATATCAGCCTCTTTCTGATTTTTCAACACCACCTCTACTACACAGATGACTAAGTTCCTAGTTCTCAGATATCTGATGTTGTTAAGTGCCATGGAGTCTGTTCCGACTCATAGCAACCCTGTATAGCGTTTCGACGAGTAGTTGGTAGGTCTAAGTTACTGACCTTGTGGTTAGCAGTCCAGAGCTTATCCTACAAGGACACACCTGCTAAGCATTATAACTTGAAAGTGTCCCCGTTACCTCAAAGTTGGCAAGACAAAAGCACACTTCAGCATCTTTTCCTCTCACTCTGTGTCCTATTTCAGTTTCTGCTTTGCCTAGCTCCTCCTTTTCCACTTTCCTTGATACGGATCAGTTCAATCTTCCTCTGCAGCTCCATCCACCTTCTTTATTCACCACCAACACTACTCCCCTATCTGAATCCATTACTTCTGCCTGGAGCACTGGCTGTAACATCCTACCCAAATTCCTGTATCCAGTATTTCCCTTCTCCAATGCATTCTGAACACCACTGCCAGACAGTATAACAGCCTTCCCCTACTTTCCATGTTCCTTCTCATGTGGCATCCAGGGCCCACCACAGTGAGCCCCTCTCACCTCATATTATTCCCAAATAACCCAGTTCAACTGTTCTCTGGGACTTTCCTGACTCCTACAGTCAGTACCATGACAGTTCTTCAGCCCTGACTCTGTCCTCAGGGACTTCCTCTGAACTAGTAGATTATTCGGAGTACTGCTTAGGCACCGTAGGATAAGCAGTGAACGGCTAATCACAAGGTCAGCAGTTCAAACCCACCAGTCACTTCTCAGAAACCCTTTACAGGGTGGGTCTCTTCTAGTCAGAACCGATTCAACGGTACTTAATAACAACAGTTGCTTATTCAGAATTGGCCTAGTCTAGTTCTCCACCTCAGCTTTAAAATCCTTGAAGTAGAGGGCTTTCTTATCTCTCCCACTACCAGAACACAATGACATTGCACAAAGTGGATTTGTGCATGAAGGGTGGAGGCTCAAACTCTGGGAGCAAGAGTTTTGGGTTCCCTCACCTGGATGACCATGGGCAAGAGTTTCCCATCAGGCTGCAACTTCAGCATGACCAGAGGGGCTGCCAGGTGCTGCTGGTTACACAGGATGACATTGGCCTTGATCCCATCCAGCAAGGAGAAGTCAGCTTCAAACAGGGTGTCTTCCTGGATCGGGAGAGAGAGAGCAAGGGTTGCTATCAGCAAAAAGCATCTTCTTTCCACTCCGATTCTCAAAAGGGAGAAGACAGGAACTGACTTTTCTCCATTACCTACTTTGTATCAGGCAATGGATCAGGCACACATTACCTCACATAATCTTCATGTGTGTTTGAATTCATCCCAGAGAAAACAGATGGTCAAAGAGGTTGGGTATCTTGTCTGAGCTTACCAATAGCAGAGCCAGGATTTAAACTCAAGTCTACCTTAGTTTATAACTACACTGGAATTCTCTATTTCAATTAACCCATGTTGACTCTTAACTCCATCACTGACCCTGATCCTCTTAATCCAAGATCCATATCACCCCCTGAATCCTTAGCACCAAGGACCAGTTGCATTTCTTCATTTTGACTCTGTCTTTATCACACACCCTCCCTCCACAGTGTGGTTATTCTCGTGCGGGGAGGAAGACCATGCTGCTGCCCTTCTCCAAGATGAGTCCCTTGTTGCTACTGGCAACAAGCCCCCAACTACAAGTGGACCCTGCAGCAGCACTATTGATGCTGACCATACCTCATTTCATTCCATCTCCATCCATGTCTCATTGGTTTTTTGTTGTGTTTGTTTGTTTGTTTTTATGTCCCTACCTGGAGCTCCTTCTCCAGCTGGGCCTGCAGCTCCTCCATCCCTGAAGGAAACACTAGACGGCTGGGAAGACGCGTGGAGCGTCTGAGCAGCATGGGATTGGCTCCGTTGAAAAACTGGTACCCAAATAAAGCATCCTCCTTCCAGGAATCCCGCACTCGTTCTGGAGATGGCATTTATTAAACATGCTGGTGGGATCTGAGCTGGTGGTCCTTCCAAACCCTACTGAAGCATCTCCATCCCCACCTGATGCTGGCCCATTTCAAGGCTCCAGGCTTTTGGTCCCCAAACCCACTTATTTCCATTCCCCTGGATTTGGTGGGATCTAGGGGAAATAGTGGCGCTCTGGTAGCGCACTGGTTACACATCAAGCTGAGAACCTTAAGGTCAGCAGTTCGAAACTACTAGCTGCTCCACGAGAGAAAGAGGAGGCTTTCTGCTCCCGTAAAGATTTATAGCCTCGGAAACCCTGTACAGGATGGCTATGACTCGGTTCCATGGCACATAACCACCACCAGGGAAAATAGTGGAGTGGGAGGTACTGACCAGCCAGCTTGCTTTGGCCACACCAGAAAATCCGATTGAAGTCGTCCAGATCATTCCAACAAGTCAGAACATTTAAAGAGTCTTTGACAGCTAGTTCTGCCAATCTTCAGGGAAGGATGAGACGAAGAGTTTGAGAATTAGTCTGAGAATCAGACATTGCAACTGTAAAGTTGCCCTAACTGACTCCATTTTTTGAATCATGAATAGCCCCTGTATGTTAAGTCCTGCCTGAGCAGAAAAGTTTTAAGTAGGAACTTTCTCTGCTGCACCTCCCCTTCCCCTCCTAACCATAGCTTATTTCTGCTTCTGTCAAACGGTGTGTGCATACACCCAACCCCTAGGCTCTCTCTAGATAACTGTCCCAGCAGATGAACCCCTAGCTCCACCCTAATGGCTTATGCACATACCCTTACCCATGGTTTCTGCAAGATAATGTCAGACTGCCTATGTATATACTCTTTGAAAAATTAGGTTCAGGGCTGCAGTCATTCCCGCTTTTAGGGAGGCTGTAGTCGCTGGCCAGCTAATAAAGGCTTCCTTGCTGATCCTGAGAGTCTTGAGTGGTCATCTGGGTAAATTGAGGCCCTGTACAGTCCATAACCCATCTGCCTTGGATAGACCAGTCACTTCCCTTTCATACTGCCCCCTTATTCTTACCCCCTGGCCAGTGAACCTTCAAAGTCCATTTTCTTGTCCTCCAGGAACCGCTCATCCACAGGCAGGTCACATAGTCTAGCCCCAGCCACATTCAGGATGAGTCCATCCTTCCAGTTACCCCACCTGTGAGGGACGAGGAGGAAATTAAGTCAGGGATTTGTACTTAGGAAGGGTCAGCAACACAGAGGCTCAGGAAGAGTAGGGAGGGGCCTGGGAAGAGAGCTAACCGGTACAACTTCCTTCTCTCCTCCAGTTCCTCCTCCCTGTGTTTCTTGAACAGGCCTTGAGGGTCGTCAACCACCGTGCGGCCTATGAGAAGGGAGGAATGAGTTTTCTTCAGCGGTGTCTCCCACCCCTGTCATCGCTGCACCCCAGCGAGCCCTCTGTCTGGCCCCTGTGGGAATCACTCCTCCCCAAAGCCTCTCTGTGCAGCCCCAGTTTCCTGTGTGCCCCAGAAGCCTCCCCCACACCCACTCGCACACCCTGCGCTCACCAGTGCCCTCCGGCAGGCTCAGGACGCCATCGCCCTCTACCCAGCGGTAACAAGGGAACCTGAACTCGTCTCCGCTGTTCCCGGGACCTTGCACGGAGATCCAGTTGCAAAACCAGGCGTCGTCCTGAAGGAGGCGCCGTTTGCGCAGCTTCACAAACAGCAGCTGCCCCAAGTACTCCGACACGTCCACTTTGAATTCCTCCTCCTGTCGGGTCAGAAAAGGTTCAGAATCAGGTAGACCCCGCGGAAGATTTACCCGAGCTGAGCCCTGGTCCCACTGGACGCCGTAGATGTCCGTGAAAGCGACGCAAAGGGACCCAAAAAGAGAAAGGGTGCGCATCGAACAGATGCTCCCACGACTCCATCCTTGTGAAGCAGGAGAGGGGAGATGATGGGAGGTGTCATCCTTCCTTTACTCTTTCTTCCTCTAGTCCCTAACTGTGCCTAGTACTGTGTTGAACACGGGACCCAGCGCGAGTAAGACTCCACGCCTCCCACGCCCCCCAACTTCTCCCGCCGCCTGCTAGCCAGAGGTCCCAAGCAGCTCGGGTGTGGAGAGGATTTAGTCAGGGGAAATGCAAGAGAGGGAAAGAAGTGCCAACCAGAGGCCAAGAGAGGACGGGCAGCTTCCAGTAGGTGATGGGCTGAGTGCCAATGTAAGGAAATAAGCCCGCCCAGTTTAGTTAAGGATCTCGGAAGTCAACAGCTTTGAATTTGGACCTGAGGACAAGAAGGGTTTTACGTTGTTGTTGTTGTTAAGTGCCATCGAGTCGGTTCCGACCCATAACGACCCTGTACAGTGTTTCTGAGGCTGTAAATCTTCACGGGAGCAGAAAGCCTCATCTTTCTCCCGCAGAGCGGCTGGTAGTTTCGAAAAGCTTTGAATTTGGACCTGAGGACAAGAAGGATTTTATGTAGAGAGATGTATTGGGGAGAAATCCCTCTGGCTGTAGGAAATAAGCCGGTAGAGGAGTAGGTGAACTGGAGATGGCGGATGGTGGGGGACAAGATGAACATCAGAGAAGCGATGCAGGAGACACCCTCGAGCTAAGATAGGCAGCGCAGCATCCAGGTTAGACGGAGACGAAGAGGGGTTAGAAACGCGGCTGATTACCCAGGTTTCTGATCATCCGGAGCTGGGGAAAACTGGAAGGAAAGTCTAGAGATGAAAGAGAGGGAGGTCCTCCTTTGTGCCTTTGAGAAGTCCGTGGGACAGATCTGGAGATCTGGAAGAGGGAGCTGGACAAGCCATGGGAATTCAGGGCGGGCGAAGAGAAAAGTAACAAAAGCTGGGGCGAACACCAGGTAGATATTGTGGTAGGAGAAGCGAAGGGGGTCGGGAAATTGAGAACTTCCCATCTCTTGGCTTCTATTTGTTATCCCGGGTGATAATGCCCGAAAGCGAAATCGGAGTTCTAGAAATCAAGGTGATGGTTTGAGTACCAGCTTTTGTTGGTGGTCTTGTTAAGTGCCGACTCATAGCGACCCTGCATAGGGTTTCTGAGGAGTTGCCGGTGAGTTCAAACCCGACCTGTGGTTAGCAGCCCAGTGCTTATTCTACAGGGACACACCAGAACTCGAGCCTTTAGGAATATGTAAACCGGAAGGTGGAGTCCTAGTGTGGCGCTGCAGGTTAATGCGCTGGACTACAAAGTCAGCTTGAACCGCAAGGTCGCAGGTTTAAGGTCACCAGCCGCTCCTTGGAAACCCTATCCAGGGTCGCTATGAGTCGGAACCGACTCGACGGCACTTAACAACAACAAACACAGATTTGGCCAGACTGATCCAGAGGCGCTCAGGGATATCCTCTTAATTCCAAGGAATCCGGGAGGTTGGACCATTTATTGAGCGCCAACTGTGTGCCACGTACCGCGCTCAAGCGCTTCACCCTGCGGAGAATCGCAGAAAACGCATCCCTCCCCGGTTTTAGACTCACTTAGGACCAGGGCACAACCCACCCTGCCCGACCCTCTCTCACCTTGTCCCGCATCGGGCGCAGGCGAGTGCCGACGGCTGCCTCCCCGTGATGGCCCACCAGCCACATTTGCACTTGATTACTGGATCCCGCGTAAAGCGAAGCTCCGGTAGACACGCGGATGCGGTAGATACCCATCTTGCCAAAGGACGTTTCGGGCCTCTGCGGGAATAGAGTGGAGGCCACAAATAACTTAACCGGAGACCCCACCCCCTTGGAAACTTTGACGGTGTGGGTGGTAAGTCTCCAGCCAACCCCGTGGCGGGGCCAAACGCTGGAGAAACACACATTCCAGAGTTCAGCCTCAAACCCAAGAATGTGTGTGTGGGGGGGGGGGGTCCTGGCGCGAAGTAGAGGGTGGGTAAGGGGTGGGAAGTGTTGCTGCACATCAGAATTTGGATAGAAAGCAGACAGGAAGAAGAAATCAAAATCAAGTCTGGAAGTACACACACACACACATCCTGCCCTCCTGGCTAGTTTGCCCCTGTAAAGGATGATGCTTGAGGGTGAAGGGAGCAAGGAAACTGAATTTTGAGGTAGAATTTGTGGAAGATACAGTTGGGCTACGAAATTATTCAACCAACTTTGAAAACTTGCCTCCCTTGTGCCAGACTCAGAGGTCCATTCCTTTCTAGCTTTAAAGCCTCTGCCTCCCTGTTGTTGCAGGATAAAAAGCCAAATTCCTAGGCATTCATTTAAAGACATTGCCAACCAGGCTGCCTTGGTCCAACGCACCCCATCCTCACCTCTCACTCCTCCGTGTTAGGTTACGGTCAGTGTTTCTCAGAGCCTGCCAGGTGTTTCCCTCTGGGATGTCTTTGTCTCTGCAGCCCTAACTTCTGGAAAATCTGACTTCCTTCAAACTTTGAGTTTCCATATGCTTTGGGATTGGTCCCGATTTGTGGCAGCTTCATGTGTGTCAAAGGAGAACTGCTCCGTAGGATTTTTGTTCCATAGGGTTTTCAAGGACGGCTTTTTTGGAAGTAGATCGCCAGATTTTTCTTCCAAGTTACGCCTGGGTGGATTTCAACTGCCAATCTTTCTGTTAGCAGTCAACACTTCAATTATTTGCACCACTCAGGGACTCCAAACATGCTTATTTAATAAACAAATAATGGTTGATTCCTACTCTTGGCAGTCCCAAGTGTAGAACTCCACAGGGTTTTCTTGCTGGCGATCTTCAAGAAAGCAGATCACCCGACCTTTCTTTCTCTATAGTGCTATTGGGTAAACTCCAACCACAAACCATTGAGTTAGTTGTCCAGCACAAACCATTTGCACCTTCCAGGATCTCCAAACCCTGGTTGTTGTTGTTGTTGTTAAGTGCCGTCGAGTCGGTTCCGACCCATAGCGACCCTGTACAGGGTTTCTGAGGGTGTAAATCTTTACGGGAGTAGAAAGCCTCATCTTTCTCCCGTGGAGCGGCTGGTAGTTTCGAACCGCTGACCTTAAGGTTCGCAGCCCGATTCGTAACCACTACGCTACCAAACCCTGGTTAGACTCCAGTTTTCCACTGAAGTCTTCCTTGGTCATTTTACCTTCTCCCAGAGCTAATCAGCTCTCCTTTTAGAGTTTCCATGTATTGTAAAGATTTCTACTTTACACACTTACTACTGCATTGTAATCATCTCGGTTACGTCTCTGTCTCCCACTAATATGAGCTCCTCTTACCAAGAACCAGCTTAACTTCCTCATTTGTGTTTCTGCTGAATTTCGCAGTGTGTCAGGGCTTGTGGATGTTAATCAATCTTTGTTGAAACACAGTGACCTGAAATATCAATTATAAATCATTCCTTCACTTGGAGGAGAATAAAGGCAAACAGATCATTGCCAAAATAAATAATAAGGGAGGAGGAAATACTACCTAATTCATTTCATGTAGCTAGTTTTGTCTGAGAGTCTTGGTGTGGTGCTGTGTGGGTTAATGAGCTGGACTGCAAGGTCGGTTTGAACCGCAAGGTCAGCGGTTCAAGCTCACCAGACACTCCTCAGAAACCCTACACTGGGTTGCCAGGAGTCGTAACTGACTCAACAGCACTTAATAACAACAGCATTATCCTTATACTAAAAAAACCAAAGACAGTACAGCCATACACTGCATAACCTCCATCCAGGCAAATGCCTATCACAAATAAGTCTGTGGTCCCAATCCCTGAGTTACAATTTTGAGTTACAGAGAATGGTTCCTAATAACAAATGAGCACTACTTTGCAATGTGCATCAAAACATTAGTGTTGTATTATCATGTTGAAAATGTTTTAATGTACCTGGAAATATTATTTTAATTGTTTATGCATGGAAATACACACTTTAGATACAAACTCCTAACTGTTCCAATTTATGTACAAATTCAACTAAAGGCAGATTTAGAAACAGAGCTCATTCATAATCCTAGGAGTGTTCACACAACATCCGAATCACATAATATGCTGTTTCATGGAACGCACCGTGAGCATCAGCAATACATACCTTTACAAGAAGTAAAAAGCAAAGTAAATAATAAGGGAATATTAAAGTGATATTAAAGAATACCAGAAACCTGGTAAAACAGGTTAAATAGAGGAAAATCTGTCTCTAAAACCTGACTTTCTGGTTTATTACTTCAGTAGTAAATCCATTCCCATGTTTGAGAATTCAAAAGATACAAAGTGGTGTTCAGTGGTGTCTCCCTCCCTTTCCGCTCTAAACCACCAGTTACCCCACCCACAACAACCACTGTTACCAGTTACTTACATGTACATTGACAAGAAAATGCATGCTTATTCTTTCGTCATTTTCCTGCACATTGTAGTATACTTTGCACATTGTTCAGTACCTTGTAACGTCCACAAATGCTGTCACATATTATAACATAAATCCAGAGATCATTCTCTATCAGTATATAAAGCACTGCCTTATTCTTTCTAAGGTTGCTAGTGTTTGGCTATACCATAACATACCCAGTAGTTAACTGACTTCTAGTTGAACCCTGAACTCATGGCAACCCCATGCGCAATGGAACGATAGGATGCCCCAATCCTGTACCAGTCCCATGGTCCGTTGCAGATCAGATCATTGTAATTCATAGGGCTTTCTTTCTTTCTTTTTTAAATTACTGCCCCCTCACCCTGCATTGGCTGATTTAAACAAAAATCTTTTTTATTATGAATTGAGTGAAGGTGTACAGACAGGATCATCAGTTTTACATTCAACAAATCTTACAATTTGTTTCTCTCAATGATTGCAATCTCCTCCATACAACAGTATCCCTCTACCTCCCTGTGGTTCTGATTTTCATTCCACCCCCACTTCCCATACCATCTCAACTGTGTTTTTAGGTAAATATCGCCCTTTTGATTTTGAATAATTGGCTGTTCCATCATTCCTAGTGAGCATATCTTATTAGTGTTGTGGTCCCCTCTATATACCTATCTACAGCTTGGGTAAAACTTGAGTCACGATGTGAATTCCACCTGAAGGGCGGTCCCAGGTCCACAGTCTCAGGTTCCTTCAGTCTCTTTCTGACCACTAAACACACTCTTTAAATATATATATATATATATATCCCTGCACAGAGTTTCCGAGGCTGCAAATCTTTACGGGAGCAAAATGTCTCATCTTTCTCCCGTGGAGCAGCTGGTAGGTTCGAACTGCTGACCTTGAGGTTTGCAGCCTGATTAGTAACCACTACCTACCAGAGCTCCTTGGAGAAAGAGCCGTGGTTTGCGACGGAACCAAGCAAGCGGAGGCCGGGGTTCGCGCGCCCTTGGACCAGACGAGAGAGCGCGGGTTCAAACCACGCCGACGACGCCGGCTTGTCGACCGCCACCGCCCCCCACCCCCAGCTCCCCCACTGCCACAAGACAGCCCGGCCCAACGAGACCCTCCCCCGACTCAAGGGTGGGGGAGAGGCGCAGGCCGCCTTATAGTGTGTATGTATAGTATGTATATATGGTGGTTACGAATATAGTATGTATATATGGTGGTTACGAATCGGGCTGTGAACTGTAAGGTCAGCAGTTCGAAACTACCAGCAGCTCCGCGGGAGAAAGATGAGGCTTTCTGCTCCCGTAAGGATTTACAGCCTCGGAAACCCTGTACAGGGTCGCTATGGGTCGGAACCGACTCTACAGCACTTAACAACAACATATATATATGGTATATATGTATATATATGGTGTGTATATATGGTGTGTGTGTATATATGTATATGGTGTGTGTATATATATATGGTGTATGTATATGTGTGATGTGTCTATATATTTGGTGTATATGTGTGTAGTGTGCATATATATATGGTGTGTAGATATATATGTGGTGTGTGTGTATATATATGGTGTGTGTATATATATATGGTGTATATATATATAATATGTGGTGTGTGTATATATATATGGTGTGTTTATATATAGTGTGTATATATGGTGTGTGTGTGTATATATATATATATATATAGTGTGTGTGTGTATATATATATATGGTGTGTGTGTATCTATATATTGTTGTTGTTGTTATGTGCCGTGGAGTCGGTTCCGACTCATAGCGACCCTGTGCAGGGTTTCCGAGGCTGTAAATCTTTACAGGAGCAGAACGCCTCATCTATTTCCCACGGAATAGCTGGTAGTTTCGAACTGCTGACCTTGCGGTTCGCAGCCCGATTCATAACCACTACACTACCAGAGCTCCTTATATAGTTGTTGTTAAGTTGCCGCGAGTCGATTCCGACCCATAGCGACCCTGTATAGGGTTTCCAAGGAGAAGCTGGTGAGCTTGAACCACTGACCTTGCAGTTCAAATGGCTTTGCAATCTGTCGCATTAACCCACAGTGCCAAGTTGTTAAATTGTTAACTATAATTTTGAATTTTGTTCCACATATTCTGCCAGTCTATCCAGGACTTTCTCATGTGATCCCATTCAGAGCAATTGGTAGTGGTACCCAGGCACCATCTAGTTCTTCTGGTCTTTGACTTGTGGAGACTGGTAAGTGTTGGGCTAATTGATATCAAGCATCTTCAATTCTCATCAGTCTTCAGTCTTCCACACATGGAGAGACCCAATAGCTGCACCTTAGTTCGTTGCTCATGAACTTTAAGATCCCAGACACTACTCACCAAAGTAGGATGTAGAACATTTCCTTTGTGGACTATGCTCTGCCAACTGACCATGGTGTCCATTG